CCTAATTTGTCACTTGCAACTCTAAGATCCACCAAGTGTGACCCCACACACCATTTTAAAAATGACAAAGAAGAGTAGCTGCTGGCTATTCCGCATGTACCTAACTTTTCTTTAGAAGCTCAAAGACCAAATTGGAATATTTCCCAAAAATTATCTTTCAATTTGGATTTGTTTTCAATGGCTACAGTTAAAACAAATATTTGCTCACCACATTTTTGCAGTTTGCTAAAGGATTCTTGGTTATTATCTGTTTTTAAAGGGCATTGCTGTACAGTTTTTCCAAGTCAGCCCACATAAAACTTACACTGGAGCAATCCAAGGCATGTTCAAAAATAATGGCAAAGAAAAACAAACAAAGTTTGCTTAACAAAACATATAATGATGAGAGTTTCATTCTTCTGCAAGAGAAAACAGACTTCCTAACCACCAACCAGTTTTTGTTTCACCTCCCCCACATTTTCCCTTAAATATATGCTAAATATTAAAGCCAGTACTTGTGGTGGGAGAATCAAGTAGAAAATGCATAGGAGACTGGCTGACATATCCAAGTGACTGCCTGCAATCACCACTCAAGTCTACACAGTCAGTAGTATCAAGCTTCTGGCCTTTATCAGAATCCTTTAGAATCTCTTCCGCGGCTTTCTCCATTTGTTCATCTTTGTTTGGAAGCATCTGTAGAAGGAAGAACACACAGAGAGATTTTTGAATCTGTAAGATTTCACAAAATTAAATTAAATTCTTCACAGTTCCATTCACAGAGATAGGATATTTCTGAATTGTCAATATCTGGAAAAAGAAATTTCATTTAAGATGGTTTAACCATGTATTCATATTCTCACTTCATGTCTAATCTTTACTCACATAATTAGACAATACAGAATCATATCAAGCTGCAAATATAAAGTTAAATAGCCTTCTAACAGCTTATTTCTTAAGAAGACAATGACCTTGAAGTATACATGCCACACAAACTGACAATGCAGAATGAGCTACAAAAAGCAGCACAATTCCTTCTTCACACTTAACTGTACAATAGGCATCATTTCACAATTAATTTAGGTCCATATTTAGAATAGAATGCTACTTATGGGTCATCATTGAAAAGTTAAAACTGCTAAAAGTTGTTTTTAAATAAAAATCAAGGAAATGTTACCGTCAGCTGAAATTTCTCATCTTTTGCACACAAATCTTCAGGATGCTTTTTAACGAAGACAAATTCTTCCTGATTTACTACCAAAACAGTTTCAGAAGAAAGACTGACTTTGTCAAATGAGGATCCAATGTCCATTTCAGAATGATGACCCTTTCTGCCACCAGAATAAAATATAAAATAACACTATCATCTACTATATTAAATCAAGTTATCAGTACTACAAAATAAAGAAATCCTTATTGTAAACTCACAAACCATTGAACAGTTTCCAAAAATCCACAAATACCATGCATAGTTCCAGATAGGTATCAAACAAATCCTCTCCCCCAATATATTACATATGTAGGGCTTAATATAGTGCATGAAAACCAAATAGTAAGCAACCAAAGTTAACGTGATAAGAAAAAATATATAGTTTGTTCATTTACCACATAATATTATTATAATGTTGTCACTTCATTATATAATTTTAAATTATATAATTAATTATATTATTAAATGCATTTTCTGATCTATTTGGATTTCTGATGGACAGAACACCGTCTCTTAAATTAGGAAGAGATGTATCATATACAACCGGCAAAGTTCCACTCGCGCAACAGGACTTCACCTGCCTCTCCTCCCCCTGCAGCCCTTTGCATGCCCCACCAAACAGGTCCAGGGGGTCCCCCAATCCCCCAGAGCAGATTTTGAGGGCACACAAAGGGAGGAGAGGAAGATCGTGTTGCATCGTACAAATGGAAGTAGCTCCACTAGCGAACTGACGGAAATGAATGCAGCCCAGTATATGAAATTGAGAGTACAGTTGCTGTATTGTTAGGATTATATTTGAGATTGTGGCGTTTGCCCTCCTAGGTGGGTCATAAGGAAAGGGTTAAATGAGTATGAAGTGATTGGCCAGTGGGAACCCAGGGGGAGGAGTTAGAGTTAGAGTTGGAGTTGTTGGGAAGTTAGTTGGGAGTTGGAGAAGGAAGAGGGAGGATAAGTCTGTGGGTTGGTCTAGTTTTGATGTGAGAGAGTGAGAGAAACTGTTAGGAGGAGTCAGATAGACAGTTGGGATAATCAGAAGTTATTAGGAAGGTAAAGGTCAGTAAAGGAACTAAGATTAAGAAACTGACCAGAAAAATTATCTGAAACCATAACCTTGTTAACGCTTATAAAATAAACTTGCTTATTTGATTTAATGTTAACAACTGTCTGGACTCCGTGTGTACTCAAGAGAAACAGGTTGGCGGCAGTGGGGAAGTAATCACAGTGGTGGCACAGGGATCAATAGACCGTCAAACGTCCGGGGACCCTGTGTGATCGCCACAGAGATTTTAACTATGACATGATTTTAATCTTTCTTATCCTGATGGGATTGTGATTTTATGTTGTAAAATTGTAAAACACCTCTTACTGATAACAGAAATAAGGAACTTGCAGCAATTTAACAGTATTTTACCAATGTTTGGTTTCCTGCCCCCACTGTCACCCTCAGTCATTCTAAATTATATGATGTTCAAAGATATGACAGTCTCTATCCTACTGGAATTATAATCCATGTATAATATAATAATATCAATCTTATCGCGGCGTTAGATATGCAGATAATAGGAGCGAGAATCCATGTATATTTATCTGTTGCCAAGGTGACATCCACCCCATGTAATGACTTCATGCCACAAAAGCAGCTTTGGCTGCACTTTACAGTATTTATTTAGCTAGCCAAACCACTTCACTGCAACCTTCATTCACAGGAGAGAACGGAGAATTGGCTTTTCAATAAAATGCATATTTTGGATTTCTCTCTGGAAGACTGAACTAGTTATTTCAGTGCAAGGGGTTTTTTAAAAACACAATTCAGAAAGAAAAGGAATAAAAATTATATGCTCTTTCATTATTTCTATAAACAATCCCACAACTTCCAAACTTTCATCAAGCCTCTTTTTAGATCTTCCTTCGCCTTGCCGGTTAATGGCAAAATGGAATTCAGACTTCAGTCCTACACCAATTTACCTAGAGGAAAGCCCCATTCAACTCAATGGGACTTATATAGATATACCAGTAGTACCTTGGTTTTCAAACAGCTTAGTTCTCAAACGTTTTGGCTCCCAAATGCCACAAACCTGGAAGTGACTATTCCAGTTTGTGAACTATTTTTGGAAGCTGAACATTCAATGGGGCTTCCGATTGGCTGCAGGAGCTTCCTTCAGCCAATCAGAAGCCATGCTTTGGTTTTCAAACGTTTTGGAAGTCGAACGGACTTCCGGAATGGATTCTGTTTGACTTCCAAGGTACAATTGTATACAGAACAAAATAAGGAAAAGACAGGTGACTTCCCCAGGACCTCACAAACCTAAATTTAGAAGCACATAGAGGGAAAGAAATGGAACAAGTAGTTCAAGGGTAACAAAATCAGCCAAGAGGAAAGGGAAGGCTATATTATCAGACAGAAAATTTTAAGTATCATTAACGGGCAGCAAAATTGTTAGTTACTTGGTTATTTCATTTAGCCGTATATCTTTTTACTGTGGTGGCAGCAATTTGACATGAAATATTATATATTTATTAATTCATGTAATTTAAAATGTTTTATCCTATATTTCAATCATAAACTCACTAAGAGAACTTATAAAACCAAGTGTTAAAAGCAGAAATGGCTAATCTTTGGTTCTCCAGATGTTACTGGATTACAATTACCATCATCCTTGGCTTTTGGCCTGTCTAGACCATCTAGAGAGCCAGAAGTTAGCCACCCCTGAGTAAAAGGAATAGGAATAAAATATTGCTCATAATCTATCAGACAATTTATTAACTCCAACACCACTAAATACCTGGAGAAAAAAAAACCAAAAGTTTTAACTGGCACCTAAATGCTAATGTGCTAACGCTTCCTGAATTGTTTGGGGGGGGGGGTTCCACAATTGCAAAACTACAGTAGTCTCATGATCACTTCTGTCTTTCAAAAACCTCATTTACAATGCAACACTGAAAGCTAAGAAACTAGTTTCAAGTATTATCAGATCATTTTACAACTTGAAAACTAGCTATATGAAACATTAGGGGGCAGATATAGAATCAGCAACGGAAGAGAAGGACTTTGTTACATCTGTAGTTGGAAATGCCCTATGCTGAAACAAATTTTGAACAAAGCTCATCTCTGAAATGACTAATTACATGTTATCATTTTACTGTAGCCCTGAAACAATTGCTTCTTAGACTGAAATCCTATATCCACTTTAAGAGGATTGCCTTCTATGTGTGGTTGTGTATGTGTGGTTGTGCTATTGAGGGAAACCATCGTTTTATGAACACCTACTGTACAGTGCAATCTTATACATGCCTACTCAGAAGTATGCCCAACTGAATGCAATGGGACTTGCTCCCAAGTAATTGGGTACAGCAAGGACAGGGAACCTTTTTCAGCCCAAGGGATTCATTCCCTCATCGGCAAGCTTCCTGCAGTTGCATGTGAGGAGGACCTAAGGAAATGTGGGTGGGTGTGACTCTTACAGAAGCCTACATTCCAACCATACAAAAGTTAGAGTTTTCTACACACATTTCTCCATCCAAGCAAACAAGAGGAATTATCACAGTTCAAGGATATATTCCAGTCAACAAAAGGACTTAAGGCATGCCTGCAGCAGAGTTAGTGTGGTCTGAGGAGGGTCCTAAAGGCTAGGCAGCCACATTCAGCCCCCAGGGGCATATAAGCTTCACTATATAATTCTTTTTGTATTGCAGCACTTACCCATTTACTGTTGCCAGAACTTAACAACAAAAGGTTTGATATTAACCGTTCAAAGAAGCTTTCATAAAGAGTGGTCTTTCAGTCATCTCTTTCAAGGCAGGCAGGACCTGTTAATCACCTTTGGGGCCAAACAAAAGGAGATAGACAAAGGTCAGACATACAGGCAGGCAGCCACACAACTTATCATCATCACCAGGCTGAAACAATCAACACTCAGCCAAACAGATGTGATTACAGACAGTAGTACTATATACACAATATGGAATCCAATCAGAGCATGCAGATGTTTTGCAAATAAGTCACACAGGGCTGGTTCAGATACCCATCTTGAAGGATGAGATGGAGAACTCTTGCACAAGCTGAAAAAAACTCTACAAGCCATTAGTGCACCAGTGTAAACTCTTGTGATTTTTCTTCCTTGCTCATGGCAGGGGCGCCAGCATACAATTTTTGGTTGATGCCAGCATCCTACCCACTTCAACCAGCAAGCCCCTGTCAGCTTCTTCCTCAGAAAAGCTTGGCGTTGAATGAGTGTGCCAGATTGCATATTTATTCTGCAAAATATAACTTGGATTCTACTTGACACAGAATTTGTATTGTTGAGGCCGACAAAAATTAAGTTTAAGTAATCATCATAGACCGTATAAATCCCTGGAGCATTATGCTATATGTACTCAGTTTAGGCAGGTATGTTTTGGGGTACTGAATTTTAATATATGGTGCAGAAATGATATCATACTCCTACAAGAAGAAACAATGGAAATGAACATTGGAAAGATAGTCATATCTATTTAATTTACCTTTTCAAATGCATGTAAATGTGAACATTTAGAGACAATTATAATGCTAAAATCAAATTTTGTGTCAATGTCAAATTTTACATGGGATACTTCTTAGGGTTCTTTTTTTATAAAGCTTTTTAAACTTCTGCCATGCTAATAATCTCATCAACTAGGAAATGCTTGTCCCCAATACGAAGATCAGGTGCATAGCATGTCTCCTGACAAAGAACATTCTCCTCCTCCCCCCCCCCCCCAAAATCAAATTAGTACTTCTTTCATTCTACCCACTGAAACTAATCTGCACCTGTGAGTTCTACTTTGAGAAGGGGACGGGCAACTATCAGGAAACACACTAAAGAGTTAGATACTAGTTAAGAAGTGGAACATTCAGACAAGAGGATTCATGCAAATCTTTTAACAGCACCCAAGAAGCATGAGGAAAATAGAGAGAGTGAAGGAATCACTATTACATCAAAAAGGTTCTTCAGGCTGGAGTGGGGGAAGGGATGGTAAGTTGGAATGTGAGGACCCTTTGTAATTGTGTTTATACACTGAAAATCAATACTTCTTATTTTTTTAAAAAGGGGTTAATCAGAGAAACTGCTGCTAAAGATGAGAAAGATAACAACACACCAATAACATGGCACTATCACAGTGCATACTGATGTCACACTATATTAGAACTGCTGCCCTAGCAGTTCGAAAGCACACTAGTGCAAGTAGATAAACAGGTACTTTTGCAGCAGGAAGCTAAACAGCATTTCTGTGCGCTCTGGTTTCCGACAGTGTTCCACTGCACCAGAAGCGGTTTAGTCCGTCTGACCACATGACCCGGAAAGCTGTCTGTGGACAAACGCCAGCTCCCTTGGCCTGAAAGCGAGATGAGTGCTGCAACCCCACAGTTGCCTTTGGCTGGAATTAACTGTCCAGGGGTCATTCTTTACCTTATATTAGTTACAGTATCACATTCTTCACTAATAACCATTTGATCCCCCTACAGGACAGCTGCATATTCCTACATTGCAGGGGGTTGGACTAGATGATCCTTGGGGTACCTTCCAGCTCTATGATTCCATAAAACCAATTCCTGAGTATTATGAATTACAAAGCTTGCTGCAGATTTTAATTTTTATATAATTTGCACATGCAATTAATTTTGTATGCCAAGTTAGATTCAGCTTATTTATTCATGCCCAATCCAAATAACTTTATTAATGCTACATTATAAAACATGTCTGAGTGGTTTAAAACGCCAACCCTTTCCAAAAGCCTGAGAAAAGAGGTGTGTCTTCTGCTGCCAATGAAAAGTCAACAATATGAGGACTCAGTGCACCCCAGGAGAGGTTGTTGATTTTGTGGGCTCACAATGAAGAGTAACTCTACTTGATATTTTGGATATATGTTATAGTTAAATATGAGTCTATGCAGTAATTAAAATATGTACAATCAATGGGAAATGAAGAAGGGGAACAAATTAATGATAAATGTTAAAATATTTTAAGTACTGAAATGGAATTAGGAAATGCATGTTACACTGAGCAGAGAGTAAGGGAGGGGAGAAAAACATCATGAATGCAGGGTGGGAAGTCAACTTTTAAATTTGTATTTAATATGAATTAATTTGATGTTAATGTGTTAATTTTTTTGAAAAGCAATAAAAATTAATTGCCCGTGAGAGGTTGTTGAAGCAAGGAGCCACCACATGTGTCAGCTTTGTTACAAGACTTGTTTGTCACACTTCCAAATGTTATCTTGAAGCATTTCCCACGTATTCCCATAAGAGCTATAGGTAGTAGACAAAGTGGACCTATAGGTCATCCTCATTATAACATACTCAGGCTTGCAGTACAATATTTTAATCATGTTTGCCTCTTCCAATTTCAACATAACTTCTCCCTAATAGAATTCCAGGCTTAATAATTTCAGGAGCCTACTGAAGCTACTAAGAATAAACAAAATGTTCCCACAAAATCAAATACTTTTTTCAGGCTCTCATACGCATACTTTTCATAAGGTATGTGACAGTAAGAAACTTTGTCAAGAGGGCTGGAAATGCATCTTTTTTAAAAAACAGAATTTAGCTTCACTTCACAAAAGAATTCCACAGCTTGTCAATAACTTAAATTCTCTGCACAAAATTCCTTTTGGATGCGAATAAACAAAAACTAAATTCTAACAACGATTTTCTTCTGATTCTCTACCCAATTTAGTTGTACTGTAATTCACAAGTACTTCTAGCTTCCGCTGAAAGCAGCCAGTTTATGAAACACTGGCCAGTAAAGCCCCTCCGAAAGCTGAAGTGTGACAAACACTTTGCAGTCTTCATCAGTTTCGGTGCCAGAGAGAAACGAACAGAAAACTTGACAAGCCCTGCGTATTTGCTCTCCCAATTCATCTTTGGACCTGAAGTTTTGCACAGACAGCGCTAATTCGGTGAGATCTATCCAGATGTTTGTTAGGAGAGCTTTCCATGAAACCGCAAGCCATTATGCTTCGCCTCTGCCAGGGTGAAAATTCATCTACCATCGATCCTTGTCTAAAAAGAACCTTCTATAGCAAACACCCGCAGCTTTCGAAAAGGAAAGGAAAATGCTGATCGACAACGACAACCTCCTCCTCCTCCTCCTCCCCCCACCGCGCAGAGCAGCAGCCCCTCCGAGCTCATCCGGAGCAGCCAGCAACTTTATCTCCGCAGCATCGCCCCTCGCCGCCAAGTCTCGCCGCTTTCGGGAAGCGGACGCGTCCAAGGGCTGCTGCAAAGCAGAGGAAGCACCGCAGCGGGCGGCGGCATCGCCGGCTCCCGTCCAAAGCAGCCCTGCTGCCAAGAAGGCACCCGCGGCCGGGTCTCCTCGCCGCGTCTATTTACTGAATTTCTAGCCCGCCCTTCGCGCCCAAGTCGGGATGGAGGCAGCGCGGGGAGCCCCCAAGCCGGCGGGGCTCTTTTCCGGGGCATCCCGGGCACCGGCCGCCGGAACCCCGAGATTATTCTTTGCGGGGAGGGAAGGAGAGCCCCGAAATTCACCCCAGTCGGAAGTTTGCTCTTGTTGTTCCCCTCCTCCCGTCCCAGAAAGGTTTTCGCGGCAGCGGCAGCGGCCCTCCCCTCCGCCGAGCCGGCTTCCCGGCGGGGGCGGGCGAGCCTCTGAGGGAAGCAAGCGGGACCCTCCCGAAAGAGCCCGAACAACTCCCAAGTCAACTCTGGGGCGACACGCGGCGGCCCTGAGGGACAGCGCCCCCGGCGGCGGCGGCGGAGGAGGAGGAGCCCGCTTCTTACCGGCGGCCTCCGGCTCCCTCAGGGTGGCGGTTGGCGATGGTGGCAGCAGCAGCAGCAGCGGCAGCGGAGCCCCCGCCTCCCCCCTCGGGCCGCTTCCCTCTCCGCCGAAGGGACGGCGGCGGCGGCGGCGGCGATGACGTTGGCGGTTCTGTTTTGCCAGGCGGGAGGGGGGCGGAGGGGGAGGAGGAGATGGAGCGGCGGCGAGGCGGGGCGAGTGCGCAGGCGCGCGCCCAGGCACCAGCCCCGCCCCGCCCGCAAAAAGGGCGCGACCGACGGGCCCCGAACGGGGGGGGGGGGGCGCTGGGACAGGCAGGGCCGACTTCTCCGCCCCCCTCTTCTCCCTCGATGGGCTCTCCCTCCCCAGGCCCCGCCCGCGCTGCGAATGAGGGGCTCCGGCCCTCGGAGCCTTTCGCGGGCCGGAGCCCAGCGTCCCGTCAGCGCGGCCAGTTAAGCTGAGCCACCAGAATGTGGCCCCTGGATCTCACCTGGAGAGGCCGCCTCAGAGTGGCCAGTTCCCCCCTCCCCGAATTTTTAATTTATTTTTAAAAAGAAAAAGCCCCGGTTGGATAACGATTGTAATGTGTGAAGTGCAGGTGTTTGTGCCGCCCCCTTTTTATTTAAACCAAACCAGCTTTACTATTATTTCATTTGTATAACCACCCTTCATCCATAGATCTCAGGCCAGTTCACAGCATAAAAACAGAAGATTAAAACAAAATACATGATATATACCGTATTTTTCGCTCTATAAGACGCGCCAGACCACAAGACGCACCTAGTTTTTGGAGGAGGAAAACAAGAAAAAAAATATTCTGAATCTCAGAAGCCAGAACAGTGCAGTGAAAGCAGCAATCCCTCTTGCTGTTCTGGCTTCTGGGATAGCTGCGCAGCCTGCATTCGCTCCATAAGACACACACACATTTCCCCTTGCTTTTTTGGAGGGAAAAAGTGAGTCTTATAGAGCAAAAAATAGGGTAACATGAACAATAACAGAACAATTAACGCCCTGCACCCCAAAAGCACATTGAAAAGAGCAGAGAATGTTTTACTGGTGACAGACCACAATCCTGGGCCCGCCCGACACATTTTGGTGCCTGAGAACCACAAAATGGCACCACAACCCCACCTGCCAGGAAGAAAAGGGGAGCGAAGATCTGCCAGGTGAACGAGGGCACCTCCTTGTCACCAAGAGGCAGCATTTACGGGGAATGCCAAGGGGGCAGCAGATCCAGTCTGCAAGTCGTGGGTGGCCCTGCCCTGCCACAATCCCAAGGCTGCTTTTCAAACATGACATTTTCCTGGTGGTTGGGGGACATGCAAGCCACTGTGTACCTTGAGAGGTGAAGATGAGACAAGGCAAAAGGCAAAGACTTCCCAATAGCTACAACATCCAGCAAAATAGAGCCCTGCGTGGTCTTCCAAGAAAACTGAACAGCCTGATTAATTAACATGGTTTGATTTTCCTACACCAGTGTGGACAACAGCCTAAGGAAATCATTTTGGATGAAGCAACAGCCAAGTGTACTAGCTTCTTTCTAAATCCTATTGCAAATCACTTTCCACAGAGATTTGTTTTGTGTAGGAAAAACTTAGTGCATGACACAACCCCTTTGCCTTCAGCAAACACAATGTTCTCACTAAACATTTCCTAATAACCTATAGCCTATTTCACATATATATATATTTAACAATAATTATATCCAGCCATATACAGCACTCAAGGCAGATTGTTAAAACAATCATATTAATATTTAACAACAAAAAAGCAAACAATAAACAACCAAGATAGCACATAACTTGGCTGGTGAAGCATTCCTGCCAGTAGGACCTTCTGCTGGCATTCCAGGGGGCTTCTGCTGGTGTAGAAGCCCCCAGCCCCCTTAGCAGGGTTACGCTTCCTCTATGCAAATGCTCCTCAGCCAGCAAATCCTGTGAGTTTAAGATTTCTCTCTCTCTCTTGTTCTCCCTCCTGGTATGCTTGTAAGTAGTTCCCTTGTTTGGCTGCATTTATTCTCAGAACTGTGAGTATAATCTGACATGACAGTAATTTTGTTTCTTTTGCTGTGTTATGGCAAATCAATAAAAAAAATGAATTGGTAGTCATAAGCTATGAATTATTGGAACAGAATCAGAGTTTAGGATTTTTTCCCCCACTAAATAGAATAAATTAAATGTTATTTTTTTTACTTAAGCTCCAGTCTCCACTACACCGGATTCAAAATATTAGCGTAAGAAATTACAATTCAATTATATCATTTGTAATTATTTCATATACATATTTTAATTGTATAGCAATTATAGATTAACATTACTTTTCTCCACACAGTGCCCAGTACCACTTCACTGGTGCCCTTTAAAAGACCCACCAGTCATTCATTAGACTGGCAGTTGGAGATGCCACAACATTTTGGAGAATGTTTAAATAGCCAAGACTTCAGTTCCTCAGGAAGGAAATATATTGGGACGGGCTCTTTGACTATAAGACATTGATCCTGTAAAAGCTGTCTCTTAAATTACATGAAAATTCTGTGAATTTAAGCAGGTTCTTAACAGACTGACAACCTTCATCACAATCTCTGACCCAAAGAGACCAATATTTTAAACACATGGGGATGGGGGAAAATAGTTTGCCTCACTACTCACTGCTCACTTTAAACAGGTTTTTCTTATATTGCTTCATCCAGATTAGACAGAATTTGTTCCTGTAAAACAAGCTGTTGAGAGGACATGGTTTCTTTCTACTCCCACCATGCAGCTTAAGACAACAGGATGCCATCGCCCAAATCAGAATCACTTATGAGTGACAGGCAACCTCAGAAACTGCTATTTATCAGAGTAAGCTGATTTGCCATGGCTGCTAGGAGCAGATAGAAGATAAAGGCTTTGAATGGGGTGTTAGGGGAGAGGCTAGTACCTCTGCTGGGGGTCATGCTTCTGAGGTAGTTTGTCCACCTTTGGTCCCCACCCTGCACTCAGCTCTCACCTGTGGCTCCTAGAAGCTGTCAGCATACGACAGCAGCCACACCCTGGGAATGGCTTTGACTGGCTGGCTAAACTAGGCGAGGGGGGCTGATAAGTCTCAAACCCTTGGTGAGTTAGGGACAGTATGCAAAGACTGGCTCCAGTGGATTGAGCAGACAAGACCAAGTGGTCCAACAGTCAAGAATGTGGTTTCTGCATATGCTGCAGAGGGAAGTGAGGGGTACATAGGGCTCACCAACCTGGGAAAGTAGCCCATCTAAGAGAATGAGAACACTAATCCAAAATCTCCACTGCCTTTGGAAGAGGAAAGGGCTCAGGAGTAAACCCTGCAGAAATCTGGAGTGGAGTCCCTAAGATGGTTGGATGGTGCCTGTACGCCTCCTTTTGGCAACTCCTGCAGTTAAGCTGGTGCCCAAGTATTGCTCTGCTTTCCTTTGGACCACATCAGCGAGGCCAAGAGCGGGGGTCTTGTTTGGGCAGCCCAGGACCCCCATACCCATTGCCCAGGCTTGCACCCCGGGCAGATCACTTCATAGTGGTTTGACTTTACCCCAAGAGAGAGATGCATGACAGCAGCAACAAAGAACACACCAGCATGTTCATGAGCTAGTGGGTGCACATATCTGATTTTTCTGTGTTTTTGTGCACATTAATCCACACATGAGCACTTTTAGATGAACTCTGTATCAGTGTTTTCTGTTCACACTAGCAGGCACTGCTTGATGGGATGTATTCACGTTGTGTGTTGTGTGTTGTCCCCTCCCCTCAGTTACTACCTTTTCACCCCCCCCAAAAAAATCAGAAACTTGAGATCCATTGTGAGCATGCACACAGGTATTTGTTTAGTTGTGCCTGTGGACAATTTTTTATTTTTGCAATACAAGTATTCCCACAGACCAGATTTGCACAAAACAGTGGGCAAAAAATTGATAGGGGTAGGGTGTGTGTGAGATGCCTGCCTTATCAGTAGCCACCCTCTCTGAGTTCCATAAACCTGAGCTCCACTGTGGGCACACACTTTGGTATGTCTTGACATGTATGCGGCTAATTTTCATGTGTGCGTCATGCCAGCCCCACCAGCAGCCCACTAAGAAGTGCCTCACACCGGGAGTGTGCTGGAATTGCTCCCAGCAAAATATCACCACACAGTTGAAAAACACATGCACACTTTGATACAATGCAGTTCAGTACACCTGTAATTGGGTGACATGCAATTATATATATTTTTCCCCTGACCACATTATCCATGGATTGGGAAAAACTGAATTAAATGAGCAAAGTTATCATGAAAAAACAGCCTGTGCATGTGACCCTTAAAGGGTTAAATATTACAACTTTGTATTATGGACTAGAGTTAGACACCACCCTTTGGACTTTCATTTGCTCACCATTTTCAGTTGTGCTTTCTTCCAAGCCAGTGATAAGGAAACATGTTTGTTTGCCTGCAGTAGGAAGTAAGGGTTTGCTTATTTTGCAGTTATTATGATGAGTATAGCAGGATTGGATGTTTATTGCCAAAGGGTGATTTGAAGGGATAATTTAAAGAAATATGAAAAAACATATATATCCTTTACTCTCATAGTGACTATTTCCCCTCTTTTTTTAGTACTTTATGGCAAAGGATGACACAGCCCTAGAAGAACAGAAACAATGCAGTGCCCACTTACAGTTACCTGCCTGGCCGGCCCCCCCCAGGCTACAACTCAGAGCTAATTTCTGAGGTTCCCAAAGTGTGCAGGCTCAGTAGCAGGCCCTTTTTCATGGATTTCATGGTTTCTGGACAGAAAATCCAGCCCCAGCAACCAGGGGGGAAATCCAACTGTTTTCCACAATTAGTTTCCAATCACTTAGTTAGTCCTTTATATAGCAACTAGTTAACTGATTTTCCATTGACTGTCCAACCAGAAGGAAAATCCTAAAGGTCAGGAACAAATCTAAAAGAACTAACAAAATTAAAAGCCTCAAACGGGCTAAAAAAATAATATTCTGTTCAACGTACATCATGGGCTAGGTTAAGTTAACACACTCTTTGCATGGGAGAGTGTGAATAAAGGTTACTGTCCTTCCCTTCTTCTGGCCTGGCCTGGCCCTAGGGAGTGGAGGGTGGGAACTGGTTGGCACCGTGTGCCTCCCCCACTCCAGAAAAATACCCAGCCTAGGAATGTGGCTGCTCTGTCTAATAAGCAAAGCTGTCTACATGGTTGCATGGCTTTCAGCCCTTCACTTAGAACCCCCCAGATCCAGCAATATTGCATTTTATTTTACTGTAGATATAAATTTACTTTGCACCCTGCAGTATTACAGAAGCTGAAAAGGGGTTGGGTTGCCTGCCCTTTAAGTATCAGAGTACTGTACTGTATTTATAATATAACCTGATGGATCTGAAATGAAATTTATGGGTAATTTTGTTTTGGTTTTTTTAAATTGGACCTTAAATTGTGATCCTGACAATTTAATTTTAGTATCCCATAACCTAAAAATACCACAGACTTACCATTTCCCCAACTGTAATTATTTTGGACAAGTAATCAACATAATCCCAAAATTAAAATTGATTTTAAATTTGTATTTGTCCCATCAATGCAAAGTAAGCATTCTTATGTAAATTAGGGGTGGGGTGCACACTAATCCCAATTTGATTAAACCTGATTTGAGGTTAGACCTGTGTAAAATAATTGGGCTAAATATTATGCACAGGAAGGCAATCGCTACAAACTAAAAACAATTTCAGACTTATTTACTAGAGGCCACCTCGGAAGTGCTCCTACACTTACTTGTATGATTTTAAATTGCAATTTTTTTAAATGTAGCAGCTCTGCATGAACTCTTGGACTATTTGCAAGCTTTAAACTTTGTCATAAGACAAACCTACCTAAAATGTGCATTATTTACAATATATTTACATGGTTACATTTTTGTTATTTTTTAAACCATTCTGTGGATATTCAAACAAAATATATTGCTCAAAATAAACATTTCAATTTTGCTTCCCATACAGAGGAAAGAATAGAATCACAGAATGGCAGAGTTGGAAGGGATCATGAGGGTCATCTAGTTAAACCCCCTGCAATGCAATAATTTCAACAAGATCATACACGACACCTATGCTTGAAAACCTGCAAGGAAGGAAAGTCCATCACCTCTCGTTGGAGCCTGTTACACTGTCAAACTAAAATTTTACTATTTGTAAGTACATAGTGTTTGATCCCCCCCACAC